CCTCCCAGCCGATCCCGGATCGGCCCGGGCTGGACCCCCGCGTGCCCGGCGCGGGGACGGAGGGCGCGGGCGAGCGAGGAGGGGGAGCCCGGGGGCTACGGCAGGGAGGGCGCTGCAGCCCCCGGAGGCCCCAGCGGCTCCCCAGCTCCTGAGCCACCCGCCCTAGGGGAGCAACACGGCCGTGGATCTCACCTCTCTCGGGCGCCGCCGCCGCTGCTGCCCGGGCCAAGACGCCTCCTTCCCCAAGCGGCCATCTTGGAGACACTCTGCTCGCCACTGTCTCGCGCCAAGGCGGCCCCGGGAGAGCGGGCGGGCGGAAGGGAAATGTAGTTCGGCCCAGAGCCCCGGCCAGCCCGGGAGGAGGAGACCGAGCCCCGCAGGACTACAGCGTCCACAATGCACCGCGCGCCGGAAGCCCCGCCTCCCGAGGTCGCCTGGGAAATGCAGTCCTCAAAACGGGCAGAGTGGAGGGCGCCCCGGCAAGACTCCTGGTCAGTGCACGTTTCCGGAAATTACGATGCCCAAAGTGCACAGCCAAGGATCACAGGGGCCCACCTGCTTGTACGCCCTCGGGCTTCGAGAGCACGGAGCCGAAGGAGCGTGGAGAGGAGAGCGCCTACAATTCCCAGAGCGCCGCGCGGGAGAGTCCCGCCGCCCGCCCCGCCGCCGAGGGGGCGCCGCGCTCTCTGCCGCCGCGTCCCGCCCTGCCCGCGTCGTCGTCCGCGCGCCCAGCCCGGCGCCTCGGCCTCGCCCTCCGCGGGGCGGCCCGACCTGCCCTTCACGGCCGCCTCTGCCCGCTAAGGTCATCGCGGGCTGACGGCGCCGCCGGGCCCTGCTCGGAGGCAGTCGCTGCTCCCCTCCGCTCCCCCAAACTCTCTGGACTCCAGGGACACTTGGGAGACGAGACGGACGCGGGCCCCGCTGCCACGGAGGGCCCTGCGTGCGGGCTGGTGGGAGGAAGAGTCTGAAAGCAAAGAGGAGGAACTACCACGTGATCATTGCCACGAGAGAAATGGGGTTCTGCGATAGAGAAAAGCCCATGTTAGATGGGCCACGAGGCCCCTTCAGGCCCCGCCACGCACCCCACCCCTGTCCTGCGGTGACGTGAACGCAGCCGCCTCCTTCGGTGTCTTTGGAGGCATATGCTGGGCAAACCATCCTCCTGACGGGAGCCCTGCCCGGGACCTGGCATTTCCCTGCCTGGACGCCGCTGCAGAGGCAGAGTCAGGATGGACCAGACGGAACCCAGAGATTCCTAGATGCTGCTCCCTCAGACCCGTGGGCTATTTTGGGGGGATCCTTTGCCGTTTTTAAACTTCCAGTCTCTCTCCTGCTTTCCGCAGACGATGTTGCTAGTCATATTAGTTGATCCCATTAAGTATTGAAGCAACTCTTACATGCCGAAATCTGCTCCAGATTCGGAGATGGGGAGAAGCATGGCGCATGCTCTCAGCACCCAAGTCTAGCGGAACTGGGCGAGCCAGGGCGGGAGGGCTGTCGGGTGTCGATGGGACTCGCATCACTGAGGATTCCTTGGGATTTCCTTCCAGCTCACATTCTACACTCGTAAGTGCTTGAGGTCCTCTCACAGTCCCTTATTACCTGCAAGACGCAATGCAAGCTCCTTAGCACAATCTGGTAGCTCCCCCCCACGCCATGGTTTGGAGGTTGTCTACCTCTCCTGCTTGAGCTGCCCCTTTCCTGCATGGAACTTGCCAGACTAGCAGAGTCAGAGGGTTTGTAGGCCCCCAGATGTTATACGCTTTGCCTAAAATGCCTTTGTCTTCTGGCCGACTATGCTCCTAGACCTTGGGCCTGTCTCATCCCTTGAAAGTCCCTGCTGTTCCTGTTGGGTCGGGTAGCACAACCGTGCCTCCCAGTGCCACTGTAGCGTGTGCTAGAGCTACAACGTTACCACATTGCCTTGGCACTGCCTACGGAGAGTTGGTTTTCTCTGGACCAGTGTGGTGGTGAAGAGTTTCTAGGGGTTCTGGAACAGCTGGGTTTGAAGAATGGCTCAGGCTCTGGGTCTGGGACTGCTTAGACAACCCCTGTTCCTCAGCTCCCTGGTGTGTACCGTGGGGGGGATGTCAGTGCCTCCCTCAGGACTGCCCTGAGGACCACATACGATGACGCAGGTGTGGGCTTCGAACAGCACACTGGTAACGATGACAGCTGACGGCTCTGTCATGCCAAGCCCTGTCCTCAATGTTTTAAGTGATGTAACTCTTTTTATCTTCACAACAACCCTATGAAAGTGATACTGTTATCATCAGCATTCTTCTTTTGCAAATGAGGAAACCAAGTTACAGAGGACCTGAGTGACTGGCCGAGGTCACGAAGCGGGTCAGCAGCGGTGCTGCGATCGGAACCCAAAGCGGTTGCAGGGATTTCACTATGCCGTGGTGCCTCTCAGGAAGAGCCCCGGCAGTGCCACTGCCGTCGTCAAGGAGGACAGGTCCCAGGCCAATATCTGGTGCACAGACAGTGTAAGTGCTCAAACAGCTGTGGACCTAGGATGATCTTCCCGTCTCCCCAGCTCTTGCACTTAACTTCTAACAGGCCATCTGTTTCCAGTCTGCGGACTTGAGCTGAGATCCCCAGAATGTTGTCTCTTGATCACTATTAGGGCACAGACATCTTCTGAAAGGTTCATAGGCGGGTTGATGTACATCAACTACATGAGGGCACAACCTGGATGGTAGAAATTGGAATTTCTGAGACTCCCGATGAGGCCTCTGAACTGCTGGCACAGGGGCAGCCCGCAGGACAGGCGGCTCCGAGATGGTGCTCACGATAATCTGCCACTTCTCTTACTACCCTTTTCATTCATCTTTTTTTTTTTTTTGTGAGGAAGATTAGCCCTCAGCTGACATCTGTTGCCAATCCTCCTCTTTTTGCTGAGGAAGATTGGCCCTGGGTTAACATCCGTGCCCATCTTCCTCTACTTTATATGTGGGATGCCACCACAGCATGGCTTGATAAGTGGTGCGTAGGTCCGTGCCAGGGATGCAAACCCGGGAACCCTGGGCCACCGAAGCAGAGTACGTGAACTTAACCACTATGCCACTGGGCTGGCCCTGATTCATTCATTCTTATAGCAAATAATTATTGAGTGCACACTCAGTGCCAGGTACCGAGTATACTGTTCCTGGTCTCGTGGGCTTTCCAATCCAGTAGGATAAATAAGTAAATAAACATTTTCAGAGAGTGATAAGTACGAAGAAGAAATTAGGCAGGGCGATGTAATAGAGTGACTTGGAGATTGCAGTTGGCTAGATGAGGTCTCTTTCAGGAGGTGACATTTGCATAGGACCTGAATGAAGAGAGTGTGAGCGTGAAGAGTTCACACAGAAGGAATGCTCCGCACAGAAGGCATTGGCGCAAAGGCTCTGGAGTTCAAGGGAGCTTGGTGTGTTCCAGTAACGGGACTGGGGTGGCTGGAGCACGCTGAGGGAGGAGAGGTACTGGGTTTGCCTCTGGTTAATTCACTTCTTCTCTCTGAATTTCAATTTTCTTAATTGTAAAATGGGGGTAATTTTACCTATATTACTTAGTGTCTAATTAGGAAAAAAAGAAGCCACCCTACATGTTTCAAACAAGGAATATAATACAGGGGGTTGTTTGCAGAGGTGTTGGGAGGGCTAGAGAAGCCAGGGGACAATAAGGACACCCACAGACCAGTCCCTGGCGGGGACCGGCCCCCACAGCTGGAGGAGCAAAAGGAAAAATAGTGTTTCCCAGAAACCATGCTTCCTGCCGCCTGAGCAGGAGCTGGGGGCTGCACTTGCTGGGGACGCTACTGACATGCGGCTGCTGCCACTACTGTGGCCTGAGGTGCCGCCAGAATCCGGGACTGGGACGGCTTTTCCCTCCCTCCCATCTTCCGAACCCCTGCCAGGGCCTCCCACCAGCAGTCAGCTCTGGGGGTCTGGGGATGTAGTTTACGGGCTTCCAGCCCTGGCTGCAGAGAAGAGTCCTGAAAGATAAGTGTGGGATGAAGGCAGCAGACACCATTCACACACCAGCCACCTTGCAGGGCCATTTTGAGGAGTAGAAATGAGTATGTACTCAACAAATTATGCTTGTTCTTATGCTTTGTAGCAACAGTAGGCATTTGGGAAAGGCACATCCTCCAAAAGAAAGTTTACGATTAAAAGCATCAAAAATAAGCATTTTAAAAATAGAATTTTAATTCTGAATGGGTGATATATTCACATGGTATAAAACAAATTACAAAACAATACGTGGTGAAAATACAATTCCCTTACCCTGTCTCCACGTTACCTCGTCAGCACCCTGAGGGCCGGCACTGGGGCCCGTCCTGCGCATCTTCCACAGATAGTCCACACACTGGCGAGTGGACGCACGTGAAACAACTGTCCTTTCACCCAAAGGGTGCGTATGTACACACTGCTCTGTCTCGTTTTTCCACCTGTGTCTTAGGAGATCACTATCAGCACACGTGGATCTGTTCTCACGGTCCGGCCACGGCGGTCCGTGTTCAGACAGGCCGTGGCCTCGGCCGCCAGTCCCCGAGAGGTGCTTACAGTGGCAGGGGTGCTGCGGTGAATGCACTCGCACAGCCTCGTGGTGCCCGGCACGTTTCCCAGGGATGGCTGCCTGACGAGAACTGGCTGGGCCGAGGGCAGGGCGCCTGTCTTTCTGATAAACAGTGCCGAGCTGCCCCCCACTCCACCGCAATGTGTGACGGTGCCTGCTCTGCCGCGGCTTTGCCGGCACGCTCTGCGCGACCTCCCAGCTGAAGCCCCAGGTGTTGAGGGGCGGAGACAGGCTCCCTCCTGTGTCCGTCTGGGTTCTGGACCCGAAGATGCCATGAGCAGGATAGAAGGGCTGTTGTTTTGTGCCACTGTGCTGTGAGGTGCTTGCTACACAGCAGCAGATAGCTGAACAACCCCTTCCTAGACTCCTGTTGGCAGACATTGTCCACTTGGTGAGACAAAAGCTGGCCTAGTGGTGCTCAGCGGTGCAAAAGCCCAGTCATTAGCCCAACTGCAGGCAGCCAGTGTCCCTCCAAGATGTCCCCAGGGAGCCCCAATAATCCTGCCCATCAGCGTGCCACCTCAGACACAGGGACGGCCCTGGGACGTGCGAGAGCAATACCAGCACCCTCGTTACCTGAGAGATGAGGCAGTGGCCGCAGGCGTAGAGCACGAGTCTGTGAAAGGCACAGGGTGCCCCTGATCTATCCTGGTGTCCTCCTCGGTGGAGGCCGATAGCAGTCAGCCAGAGCGCTGAGCCCCCCAGCAGTCATGGAGCCCCGTGGGAGGGGTGTCACTCACTCATCACCAAACCCCTGCTGAGCACCTGATCTATCCCAGGTCCTGGAGAAGCCCTGGGGACAGAGGAGCACATGGACAAGGCCCTGGCCTTCCAGCAGCCCACCTGGCCAGCCCCTAATTCGGGGGCCAGGGGCAAACACAGAGCAGGGGTGCGGAAGGGGGACGCGGGAATTTCAGTTTTAATATCGGGAGGTCCTAGGCCAACTCCGTCATGCCAGGGTGTGGTGAGGAAGGCAAAGATGGTTTGATAACGATTGTGCCTTTTTATACCCGCTTTATAGCACGAGCCGCCCTCACGACAGGCCAGTGAGGTGGGTGAGACATCTGTTAGTACCGTGATTTCACAAGCTGGGGCTGGGGCCGGCCAGGGAAAGGGGGAGACTTGGGATACTCACAGGGCATTGAAGCAGTCACTCTGTATGGGTTTGCTAAGGCTGCCCTAACAAAGGACCACAGACTGGCGGCTTCAACCATAGAAGTTCATTTTCTCGCAGCTCTGGAGGCTGGAGGCCTGAGACCAAGCTGCTGGCAGGGTCGGCTGCTGCTGGGCCTCTCTCCTGGCCGGCACACAGTGGTCTTCTCGCTGTGTCCTCACGTGGTCGTCCCCCGTGCACGCACACCCCTGGTGTCTCCGTGAGCCCCATCTCCTCTTTTCGTGGGGACACCAGTCAGAGTGGGTTAGGACCCACCCGTATGACCTCATCTCGGCTCATTCGCCTCTGTCAAGACCCTGTCTGCAAATACAATCACATTCTGAGGGACTAGGGGTTAGGGCTTCAACATGTGGATTTTCGGGGGACACAATTCAGCCCAGAACACACTCTTTCCCAGTTTGGACTGAGGCCACAAAATGAATCGAGCACCATCTGTGCCCTGCGGGGACCGTCACAGACCTCCAGCCTAAAAGAAGTTGGAGGTCGGTGGGGGGTAGGGGGGAGATTGGTTTGGGGCAAGAAGGTTGCGCTGGGTCCCCTGGGTTGGGGCGCAATGGGCTGGTGGATGGCCATGTGCGAAGGGCTCTAAAGGGGAGAGGCTGCGCTGGCACCCGAGGTGGCCAGACACAGAAAGGGCGACGGGCCTGTGCTGGGGCCAGTTACATTCCCCAGCTGGGCAGGAGGAGATGCAGTGTGAGTCGGATGCTATTTTAAATCCTGTCTTGCCCTGGGGGACACCGGCAGGGACAAAGGGCCCCCTCAAGGAGGATGGGCCACCAGGTTCCTAGGCACTGAAAGAACGGGAAGGCCGGCCATCGCAGGAAGCAGAATCAGAAGGGCCTCGCGGTGGGGCCTCTGCAGAGAACTCAAAGGTGATCATCAGCCAGCATATTCAAATGGATTCCGGTGCACCCATGTTTTCAGCACACTATTCACCATCACCAAAAGGTGGGACACCCCGAATGTCCATCCGTGGATGAATGGAGAAACAAAATGGGGTCTGTAGCACATAAAAAGGAATGAAGCTGTGGGAGATCAGAATTGGCCACCCCAAAATGTGTCTCTTTGGCTTGAGGATTATTTTGGGCTGGTTACTTTTAAAAACTGCAGACATGGGAGAAGCTCTGAAAAGTAGAATTAACCCTTTCCAAGAGACATTTACATTTGTAAGGGAAGTCTCCATTTGTAAAGGTGTCTCCCTCTCTGTACCAGGAAGAAGGGGGGATGGCCTCATCTCTAGAAACTCTCATCGGCACAGAAGGTAAGGACTTAAATCTGCATATTAACCTCTTCTTTACTGTGCTTTTCTGGTAATCTCCCATAGCCGACTCCCCACCCCCAACATCCTCCTTTGTCTTTAGCTGAAGATAGTATTTAAGATGACAGCCTCCGCCATTTTGTTGAATTACCCAGTTTTTCCTCAGTCTCTCCCGTGTATACATGTTATAAAGCTTTGTTTGATTTTCTCCTGTTATTCTGTCTCATGTCAATTTAATTCCTACCCCAACCAGAAGGACCCAGAGGGTAGAGGAAATCTCTTCCTCCCCTACAAAGCACTGACACACATGACCACACGGATGAACCTGGAAAATGTTATGCCAGGTAAAACAAGCCAGACACGAGAGGAGAACTAGTGCGTGATTCCCTGTGTATGCAATGTCCACAATAGGCAGATCCCCAGAGACAGAAAGTAGATCAGGGTGCTGGGGCTGCGGGGAGCGGGCGAGGAGTCACTGCTGATGGGTTCCAGGTTTCTTTCTGGGATGAAGACAATGTTCTGGAACTAGGTAAAGGTGATGGTTGCACAACATTGTGAATGTACTAATAAATTCCACTGAACTGTGCTCTTTAAAATGGTTAATTTTATGTGATGTGAATTCCACCTCAATTTTAAAAAAAGTGACCATGAGAATGAGCTCCAGCTGTAAACATCTGCATCAGCCACGGAACCCCCTGGGCTCACTGGGGGGTGTCAGGTAGAGCTCTGGGCCCCCCAAGTGGCGCCCTCCCCCGCCCCAGCTACCAACATAGCAGGTTGTGGAGAATCACAGCCGGCTGCCCCACACCCCCACTCGCTCAGGTCCCTACACCCGTGCCAGGACGAAGGGAGGCCATCCCTGAGCGTCCCCAGGCGGGCCTGGTGCTGACGATAAAGATATCGTACCACCCACACTGTAGTTTTCCAGTGACCACATTTTAAAAAGTAAAAAGAGACAAGTGAAGTAAATTTTAATAATGTATTTTATTTAACCCAGTATATCCAAAAAATCATCATGTCAACGTGTAATCAATTTAGAGTTTATGAATGAGATATTTTACATTCTTTTTTTTTTATACTAAGTCTTCAAAGTCCAGTGTGTTATTTCACACTTAGATACGTCTGTATCAGGACACTG